AACAATAGCAACGTAAGTATTATACACAACTCTTCTAATTAGATTTATTTAGATCAGTGACACATTTTTTTAATTCATTGGAATCTTACTGAAAGTTTCACTAGAAATAAGATTTTTCAAATAGGTAATGACAGCAGCACATATTATTTCGAGCGTACATAAAAAACTATGCTTCAAATTATATGACCTAACCATTATCATAAGTTACTCCCAAGTCAGAAATTACCTTATTCTGCATTTAGCTGTTCAATGATCTATGTATAGGTATTCTCTAAGTTATTGAATAAATATACACACATTTTTATTTAGCAAAAATATCCACCCAAATAAATAAAAGATAACTAGGATGCTCAGAAGTGCCAAAGCCAGAAAAACAAGTGATTTCTGCCAAAATGAAGCTGTTAAAGCTTAATAGCAAAGACTGAAAAGGCTTCATTCTTTGAAGAATCCACTGTGCACATTAAATTGTTCCCAAACTTCCTCTCCTAAGTAAATTGTAAATGTCCTTTATCTCCATAGTTTAGTTAACCTGTACATTCATTTTCAGGTTTCAGATTGCTGTCAATCTAAGCATGGAGCGTTATGCTTTGATATTTGGCTTCAACAACTTTGTTGCACTGGTGATTCAGACAATTTTAACTGTTGTTGTGGTAGATTCAAAAGGTCTGGGACTGGATATCAGCACCCAGGTAAGCTCTATCACTCACGCTGCTCTCAGTTCCCCAACTTTCCTCCAAAAGACTGCTCTGCTCCAAGATCAGCCTCTGGGAAGATACTAGGTAATGTGCTATAGCTTAGGACAGTTACTCACTTGAAAAACAGGTTCATTTAAAGTGAACAGCTACTAGAACCTACTTGTCCTCTAATCCTACCAATTTTGCATTTCCGCAATAATTTTAAGAAGATTTTCATAAAGCAGAAGGGAAAGACCACCACTTATGACTCTGGGGTTTTGTTTGTTTTAAATTTAAAGGCTTACTATTCACGAGTTTATTGTCAAAATACCTTAACCAGAAGCAGGAAGCAAGCTGAAAGGCAATCTAAGGTAATTCTAAGTTACATAGCTTCATTGGATGTGCCTTTAAGATACTGTACTTCTGAAAGTTAATTTCTCATGATTTCCCATTAAATTTCTAAACTTAAACTTATGTACTGAATGAGGACCTAGTCTCTAGCTTTCATCCTCTCAGAGAAGAGCCAGGAAGCAGAGGGCAGCTGTTCTCCTCCCTTATTGAGGCAGGGAGGGGAAGCCATAACAGAGTATTCACTTCCCTTCCTTTCACAACCACAGACTTCCTACAGTATGAAGTCAAACAGCCAGATTTCTTGCATCCTTTCAAGATGGGTCATTATGGGGCATAGGTGACAGGGAAGGGAAGGCAGAAGTGGAGGGAAACCTCTTAAGTTATTACCTAACAGCAAAAGCAGTTTTTGACTCATCTTCTTCCTTCTTCCCCACCTCCATTTCTCAGTTTCTCATTTATGGCAGCTATTTTACATTCATAGCTGGAATTTTCCTGACCAGAAGCATATACACCATTGTCTCCAACAAACGCAGAAACAGCAGTGTAGCTGGTGAAAGCACTGATCATTAACAGAGACAAAAACAGTTGCAAGCAACAGTGCACAAGGCTCCATCATCTGAGAGAAACATAATGGTCAATCAAGCAAGACTGGTCAGCGGTGACACCGACTGCCTATGGGCCTACAGCATAACGAGCTCTGTCAACAGGATGATACATGTTCCCTATTTTCTTCACCAGTAGTTTTATACAAGACAATTCTCAAATAATCTCCTATTTCAACTCAGATTTAGTGATGTGACACCAAAACTTCTATTAATGCTCAACGACCACAAGAAGCAAGTACATACAAATGCCTGAACCTCACAACAGAAGAGCTTATAGAACACAACCTTTGAAGCTTCACTTCTACCGAGTATTTCAATTACAGAAAATTTAGTCAGAAACTAGGGAATCTAAAGCAGCAGTTGTCCCATAGCAGCAAGATGATCTGTTTGAAAGCTTGCCACAGAAGCCGCTTGAAAACTTAGGACTTTTTACTGGAAGTTGTGACATTCATTTTTTTAAAACAAGTTAACAAATAGCAATAAACCACTTTTTTTCCCAAAGGACACCACTTCAGTATGATCGAAGCTGAATTACTACAGACTATACAGCATAGCAATACTCCCACTTTAGTTTACAAATGGACAATGAAATCTAAGGTTACAGTAAGGAAAACGTCATTATACACAGATAAACTGCTATTGATGCAGTGACAGTGTTACTGCTTGTTGAAGATGTACAAATACAACACACTAACCTTCCCATTGTCTGTCCTGGTAAATATATGGATTATGTCTGGCATCTGCCATGACACACACACACACACACACACACACTTACCTTAGGCAGCAAACAACCCCTTAAACTAAGTCTTTCTTTTTAAGCTCTGGGGATACACTTCAATTTCTGTACAAGGCAGTCTTACTTCAATAACACGACTAAAAGTTCAGATATAACTAAAGCTAACTAGGGTATGTGCTTTCAAATGTGTTCAATAGTGTCCACATTGGAACGAACTACTTCAGCAAATTCCAATGTGTTCCTTTACCACAAATTACAGATTTATCAAGAGTCAGAAGTAACTGATGTTTCACCCAATTCAGCTCACAAGAAAGTAAAAATAATTCCTTCTTTAAAAAGCACACTTTTAAAAGATGCTTGAGCTTGCCTTCATGCCCCAGCGTTTTCCCTTCAAGAGAGCAGAATACTTGTATCATATTTATAGTTCTGTTTCAAAAATTCCAACTAAATGTATCCTTATCAAATACTTTCTTGCCTCAGCATTTGTTTCAACAGGGTGCTCGGGAGTTTGCAGCCATTAAAGAACTTTGAACTGCAGTACCTGGGCATCACATCTATCTTGTGGAACTCAGGATATACCCTTCACAGCATCATAAGAGCTAACACATTAGGAGTTAAAGTATTAATCTAGAAGGTTTCCAAATTAATTTTTGTGTAAGAGGGCTAAAGTTATTGAGTGCTATGATACTGAAGCAGAAGAGGACACTGAAAACCTAGTGGAAGTATTTTGGCAACTATGTTAGTTGCATGAGCCATTGTGTGAACAATTCCTAAGATTATTAAGACAAAACATTTATAATCATGGGTGAAGAATCCATTTTGCAAATATAGCTATTTTAAAAATCTAATCAACAAAATAGCTATGGTGTCAGTTTCTGCTCAATATAAAGGAGACTCAAAACAATACAAGACCTTCAGCCACTTGTCTGGAGTTTGACAAATTTAAAATCAGTGAATCCACACTAAACAGATGCGGTTGGGTATAGTAGAAGTTGCCAACCTTTTATCTGCATTCAAGCTAGTTATGGAAAATGAGGTACTCCACTCTTTCTGCAGCACAATCTAAGACTACATACCTTGCATACTTCAATGAATTTCAGTATCTCTTAGCAGTAATCAGCTTCATTTGGATGAGAACTATTTCAACAGATGCTGATCTCATTTGCCCTTGCCCAAAGCTTAATTTACATCAATTTAGGTGAAGCAGCAGCACAGGATTGCTCCCCTTCCACAAGGCTGTTCATCTCTTTGATGAGACGTTTGGTTGATTTGGTCCAGTTCCCTGCAATAAGCATATTTAAGTATTCCACAAGTTCTTCTGAACCCTTGCAGTTTCCCACTCACTACTGCATTTATGCTAAAACATGGTGGTGAGAACAAGAGCATCCCTAACATCCTGGAAACCCTCAATTGCTACAGATTTGCTTAGTGAATTTCCCAGAGAATCTTGGGAATTAAAACTATGCACCACGCTCTATCCAGCAGTCCTTATCAGAAGGCAAAGACAGGCTTCAAGTCTATTTTAACTTTATATATGCTAGTAAGACAAAACCAGACATTTGAGTGAGGAATGTCAGTATAAGCAGCCAGGACAGTATAAGTTGCCTGTCCCCTGTTTTGGGATCTCCAAAGCTTAAAAAAAAAAAACCAAACCAACCACCAAAACCACAACAGAATTACTACAGAATTCAAAAGCACTGGCATAAGTGTTTTTACAAGCAGTGGTCAAGACTTTCAGTTCCCCCAGAAACAACATTCAGGCAGTCAATTAAAAGCAAAATGTCTTACCTTCAAGAATTTTCATGTCTGTCTCAAATGGGCTTGCACATCCTTTTCTCAAAAATCAGTTTGATCTTATTTATACCTTTTGTCTTGAAAGCTTAAGAATTTTACTCTCCAGCTGGTCAGAAACCTTATGTTAAGCTTGCAGTTTATGTATTCATGATATATTTACATTATTTGCTTAGTTCCAGTGTTACACTTGAACTTGAACCAAGTTTTCCCTGTGTTTAAAACACCATCAACTCCTCAGATGCAGATTCATATTTTTCTTGAACCTTCTTACTACTACAGATGAGAAGCCAGATATTTTTTCCCCCTCTATAAATTCCATTCTAGTATGGCAGGAAACATTCCAGTAAATAAAAAAAGAAATCTATGGATTTATTATTCCACAGGACACCTCACTAATATACATAATTTTTTAATACAGAGTGCTATTTCATCTGTAGTACCTTGGCCTGCTATTACACATACTGTTCTGATCACAACTAAGTCCTGTTAAAAGACTTTCATTAGCTACCCACAATTACATGTCCTTTGCAGCTAACCACTTCTCAAAAGTAACTACCCTCCTTACCGTTTCCTGTGTCCTTCATTACACTGCTATTCTGTCAAAATAATCCAAGCTCGCTTAATATTCTTCCTGTTCAACAGGTCACTTCACTTGAGCTGGAACAGCAAGCTTAATCACAAGGACACAAAGAAATATATCCAACTGAGGCATGTGAAAATTTTAAGCTTCCTTCACCTTTAAGCATACTGCTTTTGATAACTCATTCATGTATAAGACTCACAATATGTATATTTTAACCCAACCAAGTGTTACTGCACAAAAATAATGCTACACAATTGTTTTTTTCTAATATTTATTTTTTTCCACCTGCAAACTGTAGCAAAACATGATCAGCTTTATTATGCAGACAGGTATCCCTCTAACATTAGAGATTTAGGCATGTATAAATAGAAGAGCTCTTAGGAAAGGAAAACATTTTGAGAAATGAACAAACCTTCAATTTAACTTCATGACTTCCAATACCAGTGGTTAAAATGATGTAGCTCATTCATTCCAAGAGATACAACAGCACCTTAAAGTGGCTGATCTATTTCCCAGTAACATTTTCACATAACAATGTGTTAAAGTTACAAATACTGATATGCACAAATAGCTATCTTCTAAGAAAAATATGTACAGTACTGCAGCATAATGAATGTGGTATCTGCAATAACTTATTAGCCAATTTTAATATACATGATACCGCTACTTTTTACCTGCCCGTTCACAGGTTCAAGGATGTTACCACAGCCCTCTGTTTTGCACGTTATTACCTGGTGTTGGGGGTTGATTTTCTTGGGGTTTGTGTATTATTTATTTTTAATTATTTTTTTTAAAGGTACACAATGCAGGCTTTTATTTTTACTTCTTAAAGACTTCTTTTGTGTTTAAAGCTAATATCAGTGAAACAAGACAACAGTGCAAGAGGCGCAGAGATGTTATGTGACCACGTAAGAGTTCTTTTGGGTAAAGTGTCTATAAGGCTATAAGAAAGGATTGGTTGATGAGCTTCCTGTTGGAAATTGTCCTGTTGGTGCACCAGCCTGGGGGAAAACAAAAGAAAAATAAGACAAATATTTAAGATTTTTTTCCATATTGTAAATTACAAATGCAAGATACATAAAAAAGAAAACCACCTATTAGGAAATATTTGGTTTATGTTGCAGTCTTTTTTTAATACTACTGTAAGAGCATAGTATACTCTTACCTCTGTTTTGATTTGAACAGCCTTACAAATGCCATGTCAGCATAATACTGAATTGCATTTAGGAGATTCACATGCTGCCTTCCCTTATTTGAAGCAAAAAAAATAGATCTGTGTCTCTAAATTAAGTGTTACCAATTATGCTGCTTTATTAATTTATTAATATCATGCAACAACTCACTTACCATAAAAGGGTTACTAGATACTCCAACAGCCGCAACTTGTCCAAAAGGAGTTACCACAGGCTTTGCCTGTCCAAATGCAGCAAAACTTGCTCCTTGGAAAAATAAGTGAGAAAATATTAATGCTAGTAATGAATCTTCAAAGAGTTCTTTGCTGCCACATAAAATAAGTGGAAGCTTGGACTGCACAATCAGCAGGATTGATCCTACTTATACTATCAGGAATGTAAGTGTAAAAAAAAAAACTGGCTAGAATTTGTTTTCAGAACTAAATCAATTTCCAATTTCTACATATGCACTTTTTAAAAATGTTATTCTGTCATTTAAACTTAGGGAGAAAGTACTTTCCAATGTTCTCTTTCCTGTTTTCTGTTAAGTTAGAAGAAGTGGTGTAACTGGTTGCAGACACTCCAAAAATGAAGACAAAACAATCCTTCTTGCGGAAAACCCCTTTAAGCCTGGAAATACTCTTATTTTTAGTATCAGATTATGGTAAAATTTCAGTTGTGTCACTGCACACAAGCCAAGTCAGAAAGCTCAACTACAGAGCCAAAACAGAGTCTGGGATCTCATCAATATTACTATCAAGTTCATATAGAAATAAATATGCACCCATTAATGCTAACTTCCAGACAGATCTCCACGTTTCCGATTTAAACAAGATTATCCAAAACATACAGACCTACCATTTGGCTGCTGAGCAAAAGCAGTCTGTTGTGGGAAAGCCGCCTGGGTTGGGAACGTGGGCTGCTGGAAGTTGCCACTAAAACTAGTAGGAAGACTGTAGGAGGCAGGAGCTCCAAATCCTGCAGGCATGCTCATGGATGCAGTACCAAATGTTGCTGCTGGTAGGCAAAAAATAACATTCAATTATTTGTAAGAAACATTTTTTTATGGTAAGAAAAATCTTCTAATGCCTCAGTGACCATACAAAAGTTAGGTTCCACTTTTGCAGTCACTGAATAGATCTGTTAGCTTGGATCACCACCAACTATGTGCATAATTTACTTCTGCACTTCAAAAACGAATAATTTAAAATTTACTAGATCCAGCACATTCACATATACATTCTAAAAAGGAAATTATTTTTTATGTTGTCTATGTTATCATATAGACTTTTTCTGGTAAGAGTATATGCATCAGAAGCAAGCACTTTCAGGCAGTATAAGCCCGTCTGTTTTTCTCCTTCTGAGAAAAGCATTAAAGGATCTTCCTACTTCAAGCTGCAATACAGGAAGTTACAAATCAAACAAAAAAATCATAAGGGATACATGCATCCCCTCTCACTTCATCCCATCCTTAGGATCACTTGAAAGGAAATTCTCACCATGCACATCATTTGCAGACATAATTCCTACTGCAAACACCATTACTGTTGAGATAAAGACTTAAAACAAAAGAAAAAAACAACAAAACTTTTCATCTGATTCTCTGCTAAACATTTCAAGTAAAGAACACACAGATCATATGCAACTCCACATGCCTTCGGCAAATAAACAGGCGCACGTCAAGTGCAAAAATGTAGCAACAAAACCATTATTCAGTCTTTTGGGAGTTATTCTTGAAAGGAGAAGCCTGTAGAAGTTTTTTTGGTACAAATACAGACACCAGGCATTTTATTCTAGTTAAACATTAAGACAGGACTTTTGAAATATTACAAGTTAGATTTTATGCAAGCTCAACTGTTTAAAAAAAATAGTATGTTTTATGAATATAGCTTAATTACTAGTTATAAAATTTACCCCAAATGTATTCAAGGGCAAGACATTATAAATACATCAACTGTTGACAAAGTATGTGCAAAGCTAATGTACTAACACTGTTCAAGTTACTGTTAGCAGAGAAGCTATTCAACAGGGAAACTTGCTAAAACACAACAAAATGAGCAGTGACTGGGATATTCCAAAAGGCATCAAGCTACTGTTTGTAGGAACTTCAAGAGTCACTCAACTTGTCAGCATTATACTGTGACCATGGGGGATATCAATAATGGTTTTGTTTCAGTTGCTTAATAAGTTGTCTATGTATGCTCTTCTCTCCCTAGGCCCAGTTGCCAGATATCTACACCCACTCCAGCTTAAAAAATGGAAAGCCTTCTGAAATTCTACGTGCAGAGAACCAGATAGCTATCAATAAGCTTTTACAAGCAAGAACAATTTGCCACAAGAACCTTGATACCAAATGTGGCCACCTACCAAAATGAGCCTGAGGAAATATGTGAGAGTGCATTGCTCCCGAGAGGCCTTATGGAAGCCACAAAGAGACCAGACAATGTCAAATTATTTATATACTTTTGAAACGTCATTTCTTAGTTATATAAATATATATATACACACACACACACACACACACGTATATGTACCAAACAATTCATCCATAGCATGACCAGCAATAGATTAAGCTAAGAAAACCATTAGAAATAAACTCTACAAAACAGATCTCCCATTTAATAAATAGCAAATGCAGAAAGCAAACTTAGCACAGAAGGACAAGCTACAAGGTTACATATTACACTGCAAAGGGTAGAATATTATCTTTACTTAGTCATTATCTCTGCCACCTAGTACATAACATCAGTATAGCTGCCAAAGGGTTGGAACCTCTGAAAGCCAAGGACAGCAGTTCAGAAGGTAGAAGGACAGACTAGACATATTCAAACAAATTTATCTGAAGGGGCTACAAGTTCTTAACAATGACCCAAAATTCCACAGTTCGCAATGAGATTAAAATAAGGAAAAAATATATTTCAGGCATTAAACAGCTGAACAAGTTTAACTGCGTAATATCTCAAAAGGGACTGAAAATACAATCCATCTAGGCAGAGGACATGAATTTGATCAATTCAGTTTTAACTCAGCCTGATCAATTTAATTCAGCCTACCTAAAACTTTGAGCAAAGCACAACTTTGCAAACACTTTGTGCAAACACCACCAGATTTAAATCTCTGGAAGTCCAGTTAATACATAAAATGCCAAAATTTAGCAGTGACTTTGGAGAAGAAAATTAGCATAATCTAGCAGTCATCTAAGTCCAAGTTTGGTGTTTTAAAGAAAAGCACAAGTTTGCTTTTTTAAAAAGTGATTAAGTTTTTGTCTGTGGAATTATGATTCAACAGACTCCTTCCCCAGAAAATTAATATCATTCATGAGTGCAAGATGATGTTTAAACATATGCTTTACTGTTACAGAAGAAAAATTAAAGACACCACCAAGGTACTGAATAAGTGGACTGGTGAGGCACTAACAGTCCAAAAGGCTTGTCCTTCCTGGTTATAGCTTCAGCCCTTTGGTTTTGATGGCTTTCAGGACTTTGAAATAAAGAAATTTTAAAAGCAAGTGTGCCATCTTAGCAGTAGGGCTTTCAAGAGCCCTAATCTCAGGGCAACCCCCTACGACGCGTGCTTCAAAGCCAACATTATAGTCTTGGAAGGTACCCAACTGGTAATACACAGACTACAGACAGCTTAGGTAGTATTAGAAGATCTTAAACAAATAATTTTGATGTTTTTCATGGCCATCATTTGAAATCCTAGGATTGGACCAGAAACAGGAAAATAATGTCCTCAGTCCAATAAAAACCATAACTTACCTCAGAAAAAAGAAAGCTGAAGTTGATTTCTGCAGCCTATTCATAACTATTGTACTCTACATTGAATAAATACAACGTCAAATAGACTAGAGACAGCCAATACAGAAAATCTTTAAGGAACAAATTACACAGGTCTAAAAAAAAAAAAGTATCAACACAAGTCCTGAAAGAAAGTTTCTCAAACACTTAATGTTTATTCCCAACCTGTTGCTCCTCTGCTATTGGTCTGGAATGGATTTGTTGAAGGTGCCACTGGGGCAACAGGAGCAGCTACAAATGGATTTGTGGAAGGTGTTGCTGAAAAAGTAAAGACATTTTATTTAATAAAGTCACTCATTTTATTTAATATAGTCAGTCTGACTCACATTAAGTTTATACAGCTTTTATACAGAGCTATATAAATATCTAAAGTTACATGAAAAATTAGGAATTGATAATAAAATGCTTACATTGAAATTCATTACAACAGTACTTTTGGCATCCTTTAACTTCAATATCACTAGTGTCAAAGTACAGCACTGTCAACTAAAAATTAGTAAGATGTTTGCTTATAGTCCACAAAAGGCGTTAGTAACATTTAGATACCTCCAAATGGAGCAGGCACGCTTGAAGATGTAGGCTGTGTCTGTGCAGTAGCAGCCACGGGTACTGTTCCAAAAGCATTGCTGTAAATAATTCATACATTCTGTGAAGTCAGAATTGCTTGTTTAACAATACAATTTACAATTATTATTGGCATGTAAAAGAATAGAAAAGGAATGCTTACTTGCAGTTTGCAAACTGCAATAGTAATTCACTGATGCCAGGAACTGAGTCCCTGATGTCGGAGACTATAACTAATGCTGAGCAATGACAAGTCATCTCCACCAACAGCAGGAGAAAGAAACCCTGAACCACTGGCATCGTGGTTCCAAAGCAGAAGCTTCAGAGGCACTTGCAATACCAAGCAGTGCTAACAGGCATTTGGTATTTATTACTTTAATGATCTAAAAAATGAAGTAGTTGGCACTATTTATAATGTAAATACCTGAATATAATTTTTTTGCCAGGGATGCTGCTTTGATTTTCAGTATGCATGCAAATATTCTGTACAGGAAAGTGTCACCATCTAATAGGTTTAGCAAGTAATGACTAGAAAGGTACAAAGAACATTCTGCTGACAGAAAGAACTCTTAATTTTATCTTATAACATCCTGTCACTGCTACTATTTAAAACAAAGGATGCAGTTTCAGTAGCACCTCTAAACTCATTCAACACTTCCTCATTTAGATAAGAAATAAAACCAGATTTGAGAAAACTTTGAGCTACTTTTCTACATATTGCTGAAGTCAATGTAGAAAGCAAGCTACTTCTAACAAAGTACCTGCTAACGTTACTGGTGGAAGTATATGCGTTACTGGAGGTTGCTGTAGAACTGAACACGCTGTCTAATTCTGCTAGAGCTGCATACTTGTCTGAAGATGCACTTGACTGATTTGGGGCTGACAGTGCAGGACCTGCTGATGCTGACACTACTGTACTGAAGCCACTTCCTTGCTCACTACCACCTAGAAAGAAAGAAACCAGATTAGAAGTGATGAAGATGGTTTCACGTTCTACCCTGCCAATGCTTGAGAACTAAATGAAATTTCATGAGCATTTTAAGTTTTAGACTTGAAAATTAAATATGCAATAGGACACAGAAAAAAAAAGTTTAACTAACCATTAGCTATTTGCAAAGTATCATGCTTCCATAGATATTTTGCAGCTCCAAAGAGCTTGTGATTTCCCTGAAAAAATGACTCAATATTACAGTCATCTTCAACTAGAAAATTTAATGAAATGTACTCTCAAATAATCCATTTCAGAACAAAGCTCTGCATTACAAACTAACACAGGTTTTTATACTCTCTTCTTAACTTAAAATTAACTAAATCTAAGTATCCCTGCTCCTAGTTTGTGAAAACTTAAAGCCAAGTCTTTTAATGACAGAGAAGTAGGAAAGCTAGTCTGGTAGTCCTCCTTTCAAGAGCCTCCACTATAGGTTTTAGCACAAGTATAAGACATATATTTTCTATCTATTTTCATAATTGCAGTTATAATTATCTAGATATTTCCACTTAATCATCTTGAGCTAGGTTCCCAAAATGCAGTCTTCCAATGACATCCTTTTAGAGTGATGCTAGTCTTAAAACTTACATCTTACACATTAAGGGTAACACTGACATGAAATTCTACTAATGGCCTAAAGAAAGGACATTTTGAAATACAGTTACTATTTTGCCAAGCACAGCCACCCTTGCGGTAAGCAAACACATGTAGAATAAGCATGTCAAAGAGTAAAGTTTAATACCTTGCCCTGTGCTGAAGATATTGTCTAAATTAGCAAGAGCTGCATATTTGTCAGCTGACTGGAGGTTCAGTTTATTTACTGCAGGTTTACTGGCTGCAGTTGCTATTGTGTTGCTCTGGGATGCATTGAAGGCTCCAAAATCAGCACTGGAGGATTTGGGGAAGTTATCAAAGTGAGCAAAGTTAGCATTCACTGATCCAGCACCTCCACCTGTAACAAATTAAGTTAAACATGATCAAGATTCCAAAGCTAGAGAAAATCTCTCCAACTGTAATTTATGGCACAATAATCCCACCTCTTCGTGGTTACGTGAGACAACGTGTTCCTCCACCCCATCCCAAATGTTTAAGATCATTTCCTATTTCCTTCAAAAGTATGTTGGGTCATCAGAAAAAAGATTTTTTTTTTTTTAATTTTATTTTATTTTTCAGTCTGCAGATCAGGGACAACCCACCCCCTTCAACTTCAACAGCTTAAATCACAGTCATAATTTGATCTTGAAAAACTATATGCTATTTATTAGCTGTTAAAGTAATTCCAACAATAATGCATAAGCTGCATTTTCCTGTCATGTGTGTCTAATGACTAGCTACCATTTGCATTTACTTTATGGTACAATGTTTACCAATTTCAGATGTCAGTCATCATTCTAAGCAAAAAAGAGTGTCTAAAGGCTAAGAGTATAGTGTGATTTCATGCCAAGGTTTAGAGAGAGCGCTTGGTTCTCTGTTCTCAGATTTTTATAGACTACACTCAATCAGGAAAGAGGTAAGGGGAAGACAAAAAACATAACACAGCTCTTATGTCAAGTCTCCACTGACATCAGAGATACATAAATCAATTTTTAAAATCTGACCACACAACTGAACTTCAGTTCAGATATGAAACCATGAGCTTCCATCTCTTCAGTGTCCAGACAATTTAATTTAGGCAGGTCATGTCTTAAATTTAAACAAGCTGTTCCATCAAGCATATCACATTTTATAACAGTTGGTTGAGGATTTCACTCATACCACAGAACACACAACTCTCAAATATCATAATCAACCAGTTAAAATATATGCAACAGTAAGGATGAAAATGCTATACTACAATGGCATAAAATGAAGCAAGCTGAGTTTTCCACTGCGTGGAACTTACTGTGTACAGCCTGGAGAGGAAAAGCTGAAGTAAATTCACCAAAACTGCAGCTAGATGAAAGCGTTCTGAACACTGGACAGCCAGAAATTGTGTGTGGGTTAAAGTTAACATAAGAAGGAAGAAAGAAAATTTGAAAATAATTTTAAAACGACACCACACTCAAAATAAAAAAAAAAAAGGAAAAGAAAGTCAGTCAGCCAAAGATCTAGACAAACAGCAAGTGTAAGCTCAAGCAGAAGTTCTAAAGCATGATCAAATTAAAGGAAAGCAAAGTAAATCTTAGCAATAGGCTCTACACATGAAGTCAAACATACTGAAGTGTGTATATATGTTACACATATGCATAGACACTTTTTTTGGTACTGTGATGTGCTTTTGGGTCTACTGAAACATTTCTCTTACAAGATAGCCAACTCAGTATTTATCAAAAGCAGTATGGTTTACTCTTTTCATTGTTATTTCAGGTGTAGAGCTAACAAACACATAGTGCCATAAATAAGACTTCTGAGTGGCATTAGGGAAAACAAAAAAAAGGAAATAAAATCAACACCAAACAGAAGGAATTAATTTTGAGTTTCCCCAGAGCTTCAGACAGCTTGATTGCATTAAAGCAGGCAGATGCAAGAAATAAACTCAAGTACCTTCCAACATAAAGGTAAGGATTATTTCAATTAAGTATTAATCAAAAGCGCTAGGACTTCTACCTGTATTTTGGGGCAGAAAAGAAGACTGACTTGCTGTGGGGAAACCTCCAAAATTACTCGAGCCACTAGACTGTCCAAATGCATCAAAGTTTGCAAAACCTGCATTTGCAGAGTTCTGCGCTGTAAATTGCAAAGGAACAAAACATGTTAATGGATGTGGGAAGTAAACACAAAAACAGATGTATTAACTGAATTCATGGTCATGACAGCCTGCAAGGGTTATGTCCTATCTTGTAATTTATTTTTACATGAAAAAATTATACGTTATATTCTACAACTGAAACCTGCCTTTCAATAAGCTTTCACAAATCACCTTCAGAGCTGCATCAGTTAACTCTACTTTTCTCCTCCTCACATATGCTACTACTCACACCTGCATGACTTGATGAAGTCCAGTTCAGCTTAACCCTAGAGTGTCTGCAGCGGCAGCTGGTCAGGGAAAACCAGCCAAACAGTACAGAATACCAGATGTATACCTGTAGAAGCCAAACCAGGTATCATTCTAAATGCTAGTTTCCAAGATTAGAATTTATGAACCAACAACTTTTCATTAGGAACAAAAATTAGAAGGTTGTTTGTTGGTTGTTTTTTTAACATACTGACAATTTGATTTCCTTATATACAAAGTGCTTCTTCCTTAGGTGAACCTAGTTTGGACCACCTGAATAGTTTTGGCTAGGTTTACAATTTCACTTCACTGGAAAACTTATTTAAAAAAAAAAACTACATCAGAGTACAGAAATACGGAAAATCAATACCAATGTCAAGAAGATAGCATTCATAGAGTGTATCCACAAAATAAAATCCAAGGAAATTTCAAACAATTTCAGTTTTCGCTTTCCTTTTTGTGCTAAACTATAGGAGAAAATAAAAGTTAACACCCATCTAATTTCAAACAGCTGGACATTCAAGCACCTATAGATTTAACTGGAACTGAACTAACTGATAAGCTCCACAGAAAGTCTTCAACTGTTAAAAGCAAGGAGTAAGGGTAAAAAGTGTTTAATCAAATGCAACCCAAATCCCTATATACAGATAACTTGAGTTACAATCTAAAGAAAGCCCACAAGACACCTTCTAGAATAACAGATAGCAATATGTTATATATGTTATATAATATATCTGGGTCAGAGTTTGTTTATTCTGGAGGGATTTTGCAGATTAAATGTATACAAAAACAGTAAGCTATGCTGATTGTTTATGATTGTTTAAGTACTGTTACTTTATAGACAGACAATGCTAATAAAGTTGCATTATTTCACTTAATTTCTATGAAAAAACATCTGTACTACAGATTTATAAACTAAAAGAACATTTTCATACTAACAATGCTGGTAATCCACAACACTGCTAATATAAATGAAAGTACAAGTATTGCCCTTCACAAAGGACACTGGGAGAGTGGGTGAGGTTTGACTCGATACCACTTTTTATTAGAAGTGTGCATGTGTACTGGGGTTTACACAGCACAGTTGTGGTAGCAGGTGGCTGCCAGGGTGGCCCCTGTGAGAAGAGATCAGAAGCTGCCCCCATTTCTGACAGCCAGTTTCATCTGGCTCCAAAACAGACCTGCTGCCACCCAAAGCTGAGCCTATCAGCAGTGCTAGTGGCACCTCTGTGGTAAGATACTTAAAGAGTAAAATACACTGTGCAGCAGCTGTGAGAGTGAGAGAAATGAGACAGGAACAAACCTGCAGACACCAAGGTCAGTGGAGAGGGAAGAGGAAGACATGCTCCAGGCACTAGAGCAGAGATTACCCTGGAGAAGGTGGTTGTCCATTTGCAGCCCATGGACAACCATGGTGGAACAGATATTCTCACTGCAGCCTGTGGAGGACCCCACACTAGGGCAGGTAGAGGTCCCTGAAGGAAGTTGGAGCCTGTAAAAAGCCCATGCTGGAGCACGTTCCTGGCAGGAGCTGTGACCCTGTGGGAGGCCCATGCTGGAGTAGTCTATGTCTGAAAGACCATACTGCATGGAAGAGACCCATGCTGGAGCAGTTCTTGAACTGGGGAAGAGGGACCCCACAGTGGAGCAGGAGAACAGCATAAGGAGGAAGAAATGGCAGAGATTAAGTGTTATGAACTGACTGCAACCCTCATTCCCCTCACAGGGAGGGGGCAGAAGAGTCAGGAGTGAAACTGAGCCTGGAAAGAAGGGGTGAAGATGGTTTTAGTTTCGTTTTTATTTTTCACTATCCTACTCTATGATTAATTGACAACACTTAAGTTAATCTTCCCCAAGTCAAGTCTGTTTTGCCCATTATAGTAACTGGTGAGTGATCTCCCTGTTCTTACATTGACTCACAAGTTCTTTCGTCACATTTTTGCCCCCTATCCTGCTAAGGAGAGGGAGTGAGACAGCAGATTAGTGGGCACCTGGCAGCCAACCAAGGTCAACCTATCACAGCACAAAAGTCAACAAGAAAAAAAAAGCAAAACAATGAGAAAGCAAGGTGTTGGGAAAGGTCTGTTCTACATTTTTCACCTTTAAAGTGTGCAGCCAGGAAAAGTCGACACAAACAGAAAAAATAGTTTGTTATTATACCATCTGTATTGGTTCTAACAGCATTCTACAGACTTCAAATTACACAGGTTTTTTTTGTTTGTTTGTTTTGTTTTAAAATCAGTACCTTTTTAAGAGGAACAGATGAAGAATTCAATTGCACCTTGCTTTAAAATGAAAGTGATGCTTTCATGCCGATGTATCAATTGGATGGGAGCTACTCAGAAACTGATGTTTAGTTGACCAAATAGGATTAAGTATGTAAACGTCACTCCTAGAAATGTGACAAAATTTTTTGTTTTAACCACTCACACAAATAGAATACTATGTCAAGAATCTTAAATGAAGTATCTTTTGGGTTGACATTAAGAACTGGAACGTATTATATTACAGGCCACTTAATCTTATTACATCAGCTGACACCAAAAGTATGCTTTGCAAGTGGGCCCATGTTAAAACAGTAGAGCTGTAAAGACTCTTCTGTAGAGTATTCAGATGTTAGTCTTGCTTTATTTTATGTGGTAAAGTTTAAACCTATGTAAAAGTGGCACACAGGTAAATACCAGGTAAGACTTGCACTTTCCTCTACCTGAACAATATGTAGATGATGTTCTTAAGGATGGACTGGCAATTCCAAAATTCAGTTCTCCACACGGAAACCCAAGAAGAACCCCAAGTTAAAGAACTGCAGTAAACTGGAGATTGGCATAGATTTACAACTGCTGTTGCGACTGCAGATCAATGAGGCTGTACAAAAGCTGGCTGGCTAAAGCTAGCTCAAGTATGACAGCACCAGTCACGGCAATGCAAGCTGCCCCTACAACTTTCGCAGTTTCTTCTGTGAGGTCTGCACTACCTAGTATAATAAAGGCAAGAAACATTGCAGAAACAAACAATCAAAACACCCACTAAAATAAAGTCCACATATATTCAATATAAAAACTGAAAATAATTCTCTAGAAGACAATTATGCTGTACTATTTTACTTCTTCTGGGTAAAGCCTCTTCTTTGCTATCCGCAACAGAGCTGTGCTGTGTCACTACACCTTTAAAAAAAAATCTCGTGTGAATTTTAGTTTTACTTTAAGAAGTCTACATGCCAAAAAATTTTATCTTTTTGTTGGTATTACCAGTCTGTGAGCTACAGACAGATCAGTTGTCTACCATCGTCTTAAAACTTGCATCATTTTGCAGAAGTTATGGAACTTTGTATATTAAATACAGACAGTAAACATAAGGTCAGCAAGTTTCCCCTTCAGCATACTACAATGTCCTGAGCCAACTTAGTACATTAGAAAATTTAGAAGAAAGGAACACAAAAAGTTGCACTTTCTGCATAATTTTCAAGCTTTACACCTAGACTTTACAGATCATAGCACAAGTTTCTTAGTATTTTCCTATCAGCTGCTGCACTCAATTGTGTCTTAACTTCAGAAAGAGTAACTTACACTGGAAGACCTTAAATCTGCCGGTGCTCTTCAGTGATTTCTTTACTTAATCATAGTGTACATAAAGGGAAAGATAGTGCCCTGTAGGCATAGCTAAAACCAAGCACTTAAACAAGAACACCAGACCATAAGCTTTGAGAAGCAGTGCTGGACTTAGTGCAAGTTCTTCCATCCTCTGCTGTAGTGTGTGATTACTACGAAGAATTGCAAGTTTATACAGCTCCTTAAATGAGCATTTAAAACCAATTTTGCCAAAGCTGGCAGACTGATCAACTCTCCCTGTGTTCCAAAGGAAAAAGAGTCCATAACATTCCATTATTAGTTTCAGTTAACACTGCCCTGTGGTTACTGCACACAGAACAAGCCTTACAAGCGTTTTACCCTAGCAACTCAGAAAACACCTTCAGATAAACCAGTCTGCAATACACATTTGGCTATCACATGCTCAGATTTTTGTCTTTTATTTGCTGGTCCTGAAATTGGTTTGGGTTCTAGAACTCATGGAAAGGAGTCATGGGAATGATCACAGTAGTTCATTATTAAAATAGAAAAAATAGTCAGTACACTGAGCATTCCTCACAATTTTGATTTTTTAGTACTTATTTCAACCAGAAGTTTGCAGACTTTTTTGTAAGATTATATTTATTCTGATGTTCATGTTGCTTTTTATCCTTTTAAAAAATACCCAGCAGAGATGCAGTAGAATTTTACCCAGGTCTGGAACACAGAATCGAAATATTGCTTTAATGGAATTTTCATCTCCAGAAACCCACAAAGAGTAATTCAGTGTATATAAATATTGAAACATTTAGCAACAAGTTTCACAAGAATAACTTATTAGAAAGAACTGAATATTTGCAGCCTCTTTGGCAACACTGTACAACATTGGCCAGTCAGCACAAGTTCTCCCAGCTAAATATACCTCCAAAAAGATGATTAACATGAACTCTTATGTTAAGGATTTTATTGCAACAGCAATTCTTATTCTGTTTTACTGAATTCAGCCAATCATTTAACAACTTTGGTTTTTTGAAAGTTAACTTTGAGAAAGCCTTGATACTTTGTTCAGTTCCTCAGGTGTGCCTTAAGTCCCCTCCATCACACTTCTTCTCAGCTATCAATATTTCAGGACTCATTTGCAAGAAATATCTCTTATTTTTGTTGGTTTAGCAGCACCATAGTTTCTCTCAGAAAACCTAGATGAAAAGCCCATTCAGACAAGGCACGTAAAGGTACTTTCCCACAATTACAATGCAAGTCAGCAACAACATCCTTCAGAGACCACAGAAACAACTTTTTCTTTAGGATAGGCTTCTATGGCTCATGACCTCTGGCTGAATATAAAGGCTGATGGCTCAATATATTTTACTGAAGTAATTCTTTAAGAATTCAAGGCCTACCGCCATCCTCAGTCAAGACACATGCTCAAAGCTTGTTTATTCTTCCTGAAACTATAGAACACTGCCCACATGGGTAGTTTTCAAATAGACTCTCACATAAATGAGGTCATTCTTTAAACTGAGGAAGCCTTTGTTTTTCTTAACAAATTGACAGTTATTGTCAATACATGTGAGTTCCCGTAAAGTCTCTGTATCTCCTTTTTCTTTGAATGCTCTTCCTAATAAACTTCAGAAAAAAATCTGAAGGTCTAATAGCAGCTTCTCCCTGTGTTCTGTTACTCATCCTCACTCTCTCCCCCAAAAAATTTTAAGTTCTAGTAGTAGGCAGAAACAGTTTAATCATACGTATCACAGAAAACAGCTATAGCAACTCCCACTTCAAGAAGTAAGATTTTCAGCCTTTAAGTCTTCAACGTTTCTTTATAAAGATCTAAAGGAAATACTGAGCACTATAGCCCTCTCAAGGCACAGAAATTACTTACACCTCATGAAGAGGTTTAGTCTAAAGTAATCAAAAATTAAAAACACTTCATAGATCTAAAAGGGATACTCTGCTCAGAATACTTACCTGTATGACTGTTGAAATGTGCAAAATTAGCAAAATTTGCTGTAGCAGTTGACTGAGGAGGAGCAGCAGCAAAGATATCTGAGCCAAGGTCACTGAGGAGGTCAAATTGCTTCTTTTCCTGTTGCTGCTGTCCTTGAGATCGAACTACAACAGGAGACTACAAACAACATTACCATTAGCTTATAAAAGCTGATATTTTACCAAACTGACTTTTGTAAGAGTACTAGAAGAATAAACTAAGTATATTTCTTTAACAACGCATTTAGTTCTGAAGTTTAGGATACTGTATATGGCACAGACCCTCCTCCTACAGTATGAGGAAGACAACCTATTTATGCTACTGTGGTGGGGTTTTAAGGAACTCCACAGCAGAATTCCATGGATTAATAGGACCTAGAAGAATAAAGTAGCAGCATAAGCAACTTCAAAATTATACATTTAAAATTCCAAATATTGTACAAATACAAGCAAAAAAACCCTTAATGTTAGAAGTTTCTGCATTCTGAAAGTCTTCAGAATTCAGTATAGGGAGAAAAAAGTTGAAGAATTTCATAGCAAGGTTGCAAGCTGCAAATTTCTACCATTTGAGTCTTATGAGGTCCATTCAAGAGTTGCTGGTATGCTAAAGGTAAAACAGCTTTTTCAAAAAACTGTCTTCCCTCCAAACTCTAAGTACATAGTGTTATCTTTACATAACAGCATACAGACATTCCCTGAAAGCCACTTGCTAAGACAGTTACAGAATGCAGAGCAAGTAATAATGAACATGCATACTTTTCAGACATAGTCACTACTAATCTAATGTGTTAAAAGTATCAGCCATTTTACTGTTCTCAAATAAAACAACAAACATAAATCAATCACATTAGGTTCAAACTTATGCAAAAGAATCATAATTAAACTTAATCATACTGGAAAACTCTGCTTACTAAAAATAACTTACTGAAGTTGTCTTCAGTGATCTTATTATTACTCAGCAGTTGCTATTGCAAGAAATCTTGTGCCACTAAAAAAGTACTGCTGAACAGTTCTGTGCCCTTCAGCTCTGTCATTACTCACCTGGCTAGGTGTACCCTTGTTTAAGTGCAGTGCGGGTGCAGCTTCTCCCAAGAGAGATTTGAGTGGCTTTACCTCGGGTGTGCTGCTTGTACTACTAGCAGAAGATCCCGATATGGATGCGTGGACTGATGCCACCACTTTTGCTTGCTCTGGAGGAACATACCTACATCCAAGAAGAGCAATGGTTTTTACAAGTTTAACATGAAAACTTCTGCTCAACATTTGTAAGACTCAAGTGTGAAAACTGGTAGATCTCAGCTTTGCTATTTTAACCACCAACTCTGCAATAAATTCTATCAGTAGTTCACAAAATACTAGTTATTTAAATACGCCAGATTTTTGTTTTTAAGAATTCCAAGTCATTGATATTTCATAGCACTTATGTAATACAAACCACACGTGTCTTCCACCTCCTAATGAAAGCCTGCAAAATTCTTACTTTACACTGTTGACATCCCTTTAAGCCTCTTCTGTTCCATCAATGAGCTACACATTGAGAAATTTCATTAAATAGCCTGTCTTCTGTTTCCTGTAGGAGCTCTGAATGAAATCCAGAAATTATTTCACTTCACTAGATCTGTGTGATCTAGTCCAAACACCACACAAGAGGGACAGCACAGAAGAACATGAGGATAACAGTACAGCTTCACTTCTTGTCATAAAGGCAATCTCTATAATTGTAAAGCTATCTTACCATCTTTTTTTTTCATATTTTTCCTGTAGAAATTCCTTTACTTTCTGTGGATCCCTGAAGTCTGGAATTGCCGATGACCTATCATCAAATAGGCCTAGCCAAATCTGTTTGCACACCTTTTTAAAAAGAAGAACACAAGCACAGATTAATCACATTAAAAAGATGTTAATTAAAAACCAACTTAAGTTCACAATTGTTAATACATTAAACCACTAAAAAGCATGTGGTCGCACATTCTGCTTTAACAACTGACCGGTGTACCATGTACTCATCTAAACACTTAAAGCTGAAAGATCATCTGTCACAGCAGAGCAAGCAAATCCTAGCATTTAACTTCACTATCAAATACTGCTTTTACAAAATATTTGTAGTATGTACTCATAAAGCACCTGATTTGTACCTGTAACCCTCAAGTCTCTTCTCCTTCACCTAATTCTACACATTCCCATACCTGTAATTCAGGGTTTAAACTGTTTCAACAGATTCTATATGCCACAAGCCCCAGATAGTAGCTTTTAAAGGAACTGAGATTTCGTATTTACACTTCTAATTACTACTCAATTGTAGGAACAAACTTTTTCAACAGCCCTTTTTGCCACGCTGCAGTTTCTATGGTATCCTATAGATTTAATTTGAGTGAGGGTATGAGAGAAGGGAGAAAAGTACTCTTGCTCCAATTTAACTTCCTAACTGTAGTTATGAGAGTAAGCAAAAGTTGAACCAATTGTAAAATTGTCACTATGTCCAGCTTCAGTTCCTGAACGAAAACAAGAGGAAACATGACTGCTCTCAGAACTAAACAAGACACAGGAGTTGTCAAACTTAATGTTTTCTTTAAGCACTTAAGGCTACTCTGCAAGTAACCTGACTATGCACTCAAAGAATATACCAAACATTAGCTACCCTCTAAAAACAGACTCAGCCATTTTAGAACAGGTTTCTCCCAGAGTAAAAAAAAAAAAGCTTTGTTTTTATGATGCATACCCTTTCTTCCCACACCCTTTCTGAAATAGTCTTGACCATTCCTCTTACATGCCTCCTACAAATGTTGCCCTCTATTGCTGCAACAGTCAGGTTTTCAGCACTGTCCCTCATGACCTTCCAAGGAAGCACGTGCTCTAACAAGCAAGAGCTGCACATACCGACTGCCCTGAAAGCTGGCAAATCAAAGTAGAAGCTGTGACACTTTAATACATAATCTTCCCTAGAGAGACACTAACTTACTGGGGGGAGTTGTTCCTTTTTTACCTGGCTAGCTGCCTTCATCAAAACTGTAGCAACTTCAGGAGCACTAGCTACCAAATGTGATAATCTTATAGGTCACTTCAAAGATCACTCAGGCTGAGATTAGACAGACAGCTTAATTACGTATTTCATACTTGATGTCTCAATTTTGTATAGCCTGCTTGCATGCCCAACACTCCGCAGTCCTTACTATCATCCACTGAACAGAGACAAACAGTGGGAAACAGATCTAATGACAGCTCTAAATTAGTGATTTAAATCCTTATCTAAAAATAAGATCAGTAGTTTCTACTCCAAATAACTCAGCTATTCACCAGTCATTCAGCAATTGTACTCCACAGAAGAGTGAAGTTCAGTGCACTGATTTGAGTTCACATCATTACTTGCAGTATGATGGTAGATGAAATGAAACTGAAGGTATTTAATAACTTCTTCATACAAAGTCAGCAGATATAAACTTAGTCAAAACAGTCACAAGTCTGATCTAAAATAGTCAACAACACGAAGCACTCTCTCAACAGATGTAATCTTTCACACAAGTACTACTTTTCACTGACAAAATTTATGAAGTCAGAACAGTTATGGGTAGAGCTTTAAACATCTGCAGTAGACAGTACGATGTGGGCCAGCAATAGCATTTCTGTACTTATATTTGCGAGTATAACTGTACCAACTTGTAGTCATACAATTGCTAGGAGGAAGAGAAGTCCTGTTTGTGGCTAGTTACAGAATACCTGGCAGCAGGAGCTGGTGGTGTCTGAATCTACACCGTGCCGTTCCACCCTGCCCCACTTTCAGTATTGGGAGGAACACCATGAAACACTGAAGAAAAGAAGTTGTTCTGCCTAATTTCAGACAAGCAGAAAGACAAGTGTTATAACAGGCCCTGTCTGATCCCACACCTAGCAAAGCAACACTCAGGGCTGTACCATGATGATCAGTTTGCATCCAGTCTAAGACGTGCTAGTGAATGAAAGAAGAGGTCCTACTCTCCACCCATATCAGGCATTAAATTACTCCCCTTCTCCTACCACCCACAATGAGTAAGATCAAAGGAACTCATCACAATTACCATGTCACTAATACCACTGAAACCTGTACTGAGATCAACTCACAGCAACAGTCAAACCACAAACTAGATTTTCACCTTTCTCCCTCCTAGTTTTCTGCTTCATCTTCACCCTGAAGTGCCTAAGCATTCAGGGTGCTTAGGGGAGAAGGGGCAAAAAACCAACCAACCAAAAAAACCCCCAACAAACCAACCAACCAAAAAACCACAAGCCACCAACTCTGTATCAAACAGTCTCAAGCCTTCCTGACCATTACAGGCATTTACTAGGAGAAATCAAAAAACAAAGTCTTTTGTGACTTCAGATCATTTACCAGCTAGGCAGCTACAGCAGATAACAACTCTATGAATATACAAGCAGGTGTGAAGGAGGGCTGTGCTGTCCAAACACACTGTTGGTTTAAAGTGATACAAGCTTCTTAAAGTCATCAGTTCTTGCATTGCATTCTAATTTTTGCAATGCCTTGAGAAAGCAGACTTCTAAAAGCATTTCCTGGGGCATGTAATTTCTTCTGAATACTTAACACAAAAGCAGTAACAACTGAAATATGCCTTAAATCAGGATTATAACTTATTTAATTAAGCCCGCCAGGCACTCTTTATTGGTTCTCTGTTCCTGGCAGCAAAGAGAACAGTATTACTAATGGGCAACACACAACCGTGAAGCAAAAGAACCTTGACTTAATTGCGCACCCTTCAGCTAGGGGATCTCATTTCAACACAGTTTGACAGCAGTAGCTATATAAACACAGGTTAAAGTGTTTACCTTACCACACCAGAGATGCAAATTAAATTTCAC